ACCTGGCTGTCATGATGATGCAAAGGTTTCAGTAATTTTTGAGTCACCCACTCGGAGCAAGCGTGGTGACCAGAAGCTCTGGCTTCATGTCCTTCATGGTTTTCAATGTGGGAACCAATAGTACAGCTTCTATGAATGGATCATTGGGGTGGAAAGGTAGGGCACTTAATGAGTGCATGTCACAGGTGAAGCCGCTCATATTAACCCCCACAGCACCAGAAGATAACAGCTGCGGGAGTATCTAGGGGTAGAGGATAGAGAATTTCAACTGAACACAGCAACCTCTAGCACAGGGGACACCTTTTGTTCATGGTAAGTACAATCCCTTGTGCTGTTTAAAAGAAAATCAATAAACTTCAGCTTATTGGCACACACTGAACTGAAAAAAAACCTTACAATGTATACTAGGCAAGACCAGCTACTTGCACCCCGACAAAAAAAAAAAAAGGTCTTCACCTGTAGTTCTACTTCACCCCTCTTTCCCTTCAAATGTTCCACCCTACCACAAATCCTCTCCTCCAAATACCCCCCTCCTAGCATAAATCCCCCCAATCCCGTCTCCTAGCACAAATCCCTCCAAATTACCCTTCCCAGCACAAATCCTTCCTCCCCACCCAAATTCCCCCTCCTGCACGTAAAGTGCAACGCATCAGTGTATAATAGGGGGCTTAGGACAGTAAAGGCTAGTTTGCATTTGCGGTTTGGGGGAGAGATGGTAAAACCCCATAGTTCATTATATCTGGTTACCAAGTCACTTAAGTGGCCCTCAACTATGAAAAGGTTGAGCACCCCTGTTCTAGAGTGTTCAGAAACACAATTACTCCAGTCCTGTATACGGCCACACGCCAAACATTCACCTAAGCATTTCAACGCTTACCTGGCCTGTTCCTGACAAAGCTTTCACTTTGGAAAAGTCAAACCCAGAAGATTTCATTCTCTCCAAGATGCAATCTAAAGCCTAAAAAAGACAAAATACCGCAGGAATTCCAAAAAATGTCTAGCAATGTTATTTTGGAATTAACATATTATCCCCATCCACAAAAACGGCAGGAACAAATACTGTAGATTTAAAGGGTCATTCCATTTTTATATAGTCCAAATCTTTCGGCATCTTAATGTCCTAAACACCCGTGGGTGTGATTATCTTCTTCACCAAAATTCCTCCTCCAAACTGTGAAAATTTTTCTTACTCCAATTAAACCAATAATTATGTTTTTCAGAGCTCTTCATCACAGCACACCTGGGAGAGTATCCACTCAACTCCTTCCAAATCCTCACATATTACTCCCAACTGATCCTCCACAGTACAGGCTGTCTGTACTGTGGTGGATCAGTCGAGAGTAATATGTGAGGATTCGGAAGGCGTTGCGTAGATACTCTCTCAGGTGTGCTGTGATGAAGAGCTCTGAAAAACATAATTATTGGTTTAATTGGAGTAAGTAGAATTTTCACATTTTGGAGGAGGAATATTGATGAAGAAGATCAAATGAAATCCACTTAAATGAATGCAGATTAAAATAGCAGTATGCAGCACAATGAATATTGCAGAGTATGACAGCAGTGTGCATCGGACTAACCGTCCAGAAAGCAAGATTCAGCCTCTGCCTCTGAAGAAGTGCGTGCGCACGAAACGTGTCAGGAGGGGCCAAGACGCCATGTCGTTAAGCTGCCGGAGCCACGTGGAGGCCTGGCGGCCATCTTGCTTTCTGGACGGTTAGTCCGATGCACACTGCTGTCATACTCTGCAATATTCATTGTGCTGTATACTGCTATTTTAATCTGCATTCATTTAAGTGGATTTCATTTGTTTTTTACCATGGTTACTTTCATTAATAAATACTACATTCATTAATTACTACACTCTGAGTACTTCCTATACTCCCCCTGGTGGAGTTATTTATTCATAGCACCTGCCTGATCCAGCAATATTAAGGATTCCAGAGAAGGGAGATCCTGTACCCAGGCAACCTGCACCCACTTATCCCTTAAGGGGACCTGTGGCCAGCTGGATCCTTTCCTTACCATCCTGTGTGCTCCCACCACCACTACCCACCTAGAGGGAGGATCATCTCCGTGTGTTCCTGACCAGACCAACCACCTAGAGGGAGGACATCTTCCCTTATCCCAGACCAGACCCTAAAGGAGGCTTCTGTGGATTTTGCTTAATGCACATTTACATTGTGCATCTGGTGAGTGCACAATCTCTCTATATTACTTGGAACATCATCACGGATTATAAGGAGAGCGCAATATAGTATATCCATTAGTCTTTAGTGACAGTACGGAACATTTATTCTTTATTCTTTACATATGGACTGTTTTACTGTACGTATAGTCACTTAGATTATAATTTGCATATCAATTTGCATTACATTTTTAGCGCTACACTATTTATTTGTAACTTTGTATATTGTAGCAGCCTTTCTCAACCAGGGTTCTGTGGAACTCTAGGTTTCCTCCAGAGGCTGGTAGGAGTTCCTTGGGTTGTGAAAAATTGACCTCCGATTTAATGATGTCTCCATAGTTCCAGGGCCTCTCCTTCAGTCCGTGGGCTGAACATGGGAAATTTAACTTTTTATATTGTAGCAGCCTTTCTCGACCAGGGTTTTGTGGAACTCTAGGTTTCATCCAGAGGCTGGTAGGGGTTCCTTGGGTTGTGAAAGATTGACCTCCAATTTAATGGTGTCTCCTTAGTTCCAGGGCCAACACCACTTGGCAGAGCCAGCAGCATGATACCATAATATCTTATTGTAGGGGTCATTTCCCTATTCGCCTGCGATTATTTGGTTTTACAAGGGTTCCCTGAAACCTCAAAATTATTTTAGGGGTTCCTCTGGGTGAAAAGGGTTAAGTAAGGTTGCTGTATAGCCTTACCTTTGCACAGTGAACTTTCTCAACTGATCATTTTGTAATCATGAAGCATTGACCAGATTGGGGAACATTTTATAAACTACTGACTGTACACAGCTGTAAAGCCTTGTCTTTTCTTCTTGATGAAAATCAGGTATTGTATGCAACTCATACTTGTGTACAACCATGTCCAGAAGTCAGAGGTCAATGAATAATTAAGTCAGTAAGAATTTCTTACCTTAACCCACATTAACACAGGTGAAGTTACGGTCAACTTGTCACTGTGGATGTGGACCCCACCTTGTGTCCTGAAAATATGCATAAACATGTTGATTTTTCACAGTGCTATTATCTCCATTAACAAGAGTAACTAACTAAGAGTGCAAACACTGTGGAAAAGACTATTTTTACACTTTCTTTGTCAAAAATATGCACATTACGTATCCCCTCTAATTCTCCAGTCTATTTCTTATCCATTTTGGTATCCATCATTCACACAGAATTATCAGTGCAGTCCTTGGATGGCTGCATTGTTGAGTATTCGCCTTTCATACAACTGATCCCATTGTCCCCAGATTTATAACAGCAATTAGGACCCACACAAAATTCCTAGCTTCCCACTGAGAAGTAAAACACTTGGTCATAATCATGGGTAATTCTAAAGATGGTCATACACTAATAGATTCTTTTTGCTCAGCCTGCTGGCTGATCGAACTAAATTTAACAGATTCTTCCATCCACTCTCTACAGCACAGACAGATGAATCTGCAGTACCGCTTTTGTATTCTGACAGCCAGCACCATGAACTGTCAGAATAAGCGAACAGTAACTGCATTTAACTGGATGCAGCCCCTCTTTGGCCAACAATTTTTTCACCCTGCTCCTTCAATTTCTCAAAGGATGTCAGGTGGGAACGTTCTGAAAGGGCCACTCACAAATTAAAATGCAGTTGTTTCATCAGGAACCAGCTGAAATTCAATCAGTATAAGCTAAACTGTGTCCAGTATGTTGTGAATAATCAGAAGTAGGTAAAGCCACTAATTTAAAAGAGAAGTAGAGGTATATAGGCAGCTAATGTTACATGCAAATCTCAACCTTTACTCTAGACAGCTGATGTTGAATGCAAATCTCAGCCTTTTTCTCTAAAAGTTGAGCATCCCTATTGGCCAGCAAGACTGTCCATTCACATTAAAAGAATTGTAGAGAGGCTCATATGACAGCGGAGCATCTTTTACTGCCTCAGCTAGATTATACAGTTTTCAGAAGTCAGTAAGTGCATTAAAAGCATTTTAGAGTCTAGTACTGAAACCAGAGACCTAAATGAAGAAGGTTGGGGTTACTAAAAATATAAACCTACATACTCACCTCTATATTGCAGCATCACTGTGATGTGACCACTGATCGCTCAGTTCCTGGGATCTCAGAAAGGAGATTGATGACTGTCAGTCACCACTCTCTGATCTGCTCCTCCAGCACTTATTGAAGGCACGGCTGGAGAAGGGGCGGCTCAGCAAGCTTTGAGCAGTGAGGCCTCTGGGTGTAAAAAAATGACACTTTTTTTTACAAATTTGAAATTAGATGCATTGTTGTCTATGGAACAATGCATACAGTAAAGAGTAAAGGTCAGTTATAATGTTTACATTTGAGTTCAGTAATTTTATGTGCATACACGTTTACACATCTGTAAGCATCTTTACACAAGTATAAATGTGCATATTACAACACTGACAATAAAGAAGAATATTATTTGTCTATACATTTACGCAGCTTTACGTGTTTATGCACGTGTTTACGCAAGGTCTTTATGGAACATTTTAATCAGGATCTTTGTGTCAACAAGAGCCAGCTGTCAATCAGGCAACTGGGTGGATCCTGACAATATGGTCGGGATCCTTCTAGAGCTGCTCTGTGACATCAGTCAACAGATGGCTGATTCTGGGTCACAGGAGGGCACAAGAATGTGCACTCCTATGACCCACTAGAGGAGTATGGCCCAAAAAGCTTTGGCCACACATCTCTTTTAACCGTCTCCCACCCGCCATATAAGGAAATGTTGGGCAGGCGGCGGTTCTCTCATTCTGGGAGGACGTCATATGATGTTCTCCCACTCTAACTGCGCATGCGCACCCCCAGGGGCGTGCAGCGATCGGTGGTGTGCTGTGTCCCTGGGACACAGTGGATCACTGATCAGAGTAAAGAGCCAATGATGTCCAATCACAGCTTATCGCATGTAACAAGGAAATGCCGGTTATCGGCAGTCCTCTCCTCACACTGACAGCGCGTGTGGAGAGGAGAGCCAGTAATCGGCATTCCTCAGAGGGGACATCTACACTGATCATCAGGGCACTGATGATCAGTGCCCTGATGATCAATGTATCCCCATCAGTGCCGCATGTCAGAGCACATCAATGCCACCTGTAAGTGCCCATCAATGCCACCTGTAAGTGCCCATCAGTGCACATCAATGCCACATATCAGTGCCTACCAGTGCACATCAATGCCACATATCAGTGCCCATCAAAGCTACCTTTCAGTCCTGCCTATCAGTGCCAGTCAGTGCTGCCTATCAGTGCCAGTCAGTGCCGCCTATCAGTGACACCTAACAGTTCCAATCAGTGCCGCCTAATAGTTCCAGTTAGTGCCACCTACCAGTGTCAGTCAGTGCCGACAATTAGTGCTGCCTTTCATTCCCCATCAGTGATGCCTGTCAATGCCCACAAGTGATGCCTGTCAATGCCCATCAGTGCCACCTACCAGTGCCTCCTATCAGTGCAGCCTATCAGTGCCCATCACTGCAGCCTCATTAGCGCACATCAGTGGAGGAGAAAAATTACTTAATTACAACATTTTATAACAGAGACTAAGAAAAAACTTTTTTTTTTCCAACATTTTCATTTATTTTTTAGTTTGTTTATCAGAAAATAAAAAAACTTGTGGTGAATAAGTACCACCAAAAGAAAGCTCTATCTGTCTAAAAACAAAATGATAAAAATTTTGTTTGGGTACAATGTCGTATGACCGCGCAATTGTCATTCAAATTGCGACAGCGCTGAAAGCTGAAATTGGCCTGGGCAGGAAGGGGGTAAAAGTGCCCGGTAGGCAAATGGTTAATGCTTCCTCCCTACTTCTGAAAAGACTATATCAGTGAAGAAATAAGAAGAGACTTTAAATAATATTGAAGGATCCACCCACTAGTGCAGACCTCCTCACAAATCTATTTTATTTTTTATTTTGTTTATTTATTACAGGTACTTATATAGCGCTGTCCATTTAGGCAGCACTTTACATATATATTGTACATTCACATCAGTTACTGCCCTCAAGGGGTGTACAATCTAAGGTCCCTAACTCACATTCATACAAACACATACTAGGGCCGAGTTTAGACAGGAGCAAATTAAAGCAGAGTTCCAGCTGAATTTAAATAAATAAAAGTCAGCAGTTAAAAAAACTGTAGCTGCTGACTTTTAAAATACAGCCACTTACCTGTCCCTTGGTCCAGCGGTGTCCTCACCATTGCTGATTTCACCGGCCGTCTTCTCTCCCTGGTGCCGGCATCTTCAGTGTGGGCACCCGGCTGTGACAGCTTGCAGCTTCACAACCTGGTGCCCACTGCCCATGCAGGAGAAGCGCTGCGCTTTGTGAATGGTCCCGTAGTCTTCTGAGAACTGTCATGTGTCCAAGAAGACTACGGGAAAGAGGGGGGAGGACAACTTCCGCTTCCAATCACCTTAGGAGATTGCACCAAAAGTGAGAGCGGGTATCTGTCAAATTTGGGTAAAACCTCCCCAAAGGTGCCAATCCTTAATGGGGAGCAGGGGACAAAGCCTTAACTGAAAGCAGAACTTCCCCTTTTGGGTGGAGCTCCGCTTTAACTTACCAGCATGTTTTTGGAGTCTAGGAGGAAACTGGAGCAACTGGAGGAAACCCACACAGTTTTATTTTTTTTTTTTGAAGGACATTGTAAAAAGATATAAATAACCAACATGTGATGTCTCTCCCTGGTGTTAGAATTTGGTGTCAGCTGAGTGGGGAAACATCTAGCCTAAAGACAGCAGTAACATGCATAGCAGAAGGAAAAGATCCCTAAAGAATACAAACTGGATCTTCAAGTCATGACTTTAATAATAGCCACATTTTTTAGAAAGCATATAGGTTTTACCAAATTCTTGCAATGTGTAGCGAATTATCTCTGTTTTCCTGATAATCGGAACAAGGATGACTCATGAAATGAAGCTGTCAGGTGGTGAATTCTGACAGGCGGTATGTACTATCTTAATTGATACTATCATTGGGGCAGGGTGTACATTAAGCTTGCAGTTCTCACAGGGAGTAAAGTATTTGGCACTCTACTCCAGATCAATGGGATATAATGCAACTCACCCATCTGTGGTTTAGGATGGCTTTAGCGTAACTGTTTCTACAGCTGACACATCAATTACTTTCATCTCTGTAGGAAACTTGATATGCTCAACTCCATCTGCTCCAAATCTTTTCTCCATCAGTAGATCAAGTACTAAAGTCTAACAGATATGATGAAATGTTCTCTGGATTATGGAAAAAATACTCAACCTAAGCCATTATTTGATATGCACTGATCAACTGAATAACACACAGCACACAGCAGGATTCAGCATTCTTTCTACTATCCAATGCATCATCTTAAAGCAGCAGGTTTGCTTTAAAGCGGAGATTCGTTTCATTTAACTTTAAATAGTTTGTTTGGACCAAGCGTGATCCTGCAGTTCCAGATTAGGGAATTCCAGGAGCTGTGACATCACCCGCCAACATTGACACCAATGTCAGGGGGGTTTTATCCTGACACCCAAAATAAGGGGGATTTCTACACTGAACACCAATGTAAGGGGGGCATTTACACTGACCACTTGTGTAATGAAGAGATTCTACACTGACCCCAATGTAATAAGAAGGTTTACACTGACCATCACTGTCATGGGAAGGTTTACACCGAACCCAACATAGCGGAAGTACGGTATATACACTTACAACCAATGTAATGGAGACATGCTGATCAACAATGTAAAAGGGGTATTTACAGTGCCCCCCCCCCCCCCCTTTGGAAATCTCTGCATCCTCGTCCACCCCCTCTCAGTTCAGCTTTGCATCCTACATCCCCTGCCAACCTCAGCACCCCAAACTCCCCCTCTCTACCTACCACTAAAGTGCCCTCTGCTCACTTTTGCACCCCAGCCCCTACCCCTGCTTACCACTGCATACCCTCTCTCTGCTCACCTTTGTGCCCCAACATCTCCCTGCTCACCTTTGAACCCCAAAGAGTAATTCCTTCTCTGTTAACCTCTGCACCCCCCCTCCCATCCTTGATCACCTTTGCATCTAAAGAGTACCCCACAATCTACTTACTTCAGCACCCCTACTTTGCTCTCCTTTGCTCCTCAAATAGTAACCCCCTTCCCTCTACTCATCTCTGCTGCAGCACCCTTCAACTTTAATACCCGATGGCAGTGACAGGCAGGACTTCCAAGCCTGTTCCTGGTTGGTTAAATCCCCCAAGTGAGCAACATTTACTAGTGGACAAAACCTCATGGGGGCATGATTAGCATGTGTTCCTCAAGGCTTCATTCTGTAATCCCAGGACACAATTCAGGACACATAGAATTCAAAGGACAGGTGAGTCACTTACCCAAATTCAGGTAGGTCTTTATCAAAGTGAACATTGTCCTCGTAGACAACTTGGAATCCTTCATTAACAGCAATAACCTTTAACTGTAAATTAGAAAACAGTTTTGAGTAGGTTTTAACTACACACAAGGTTATTTATTAAAGACAAACAACAACATGTAAAGGGTAGTACCCAGGGGCGGACTGACAACTCATGGGGCCCCCAGGCAATAGGGGATCATGGGGCCCCTGTGTCCTTGCCCAAACTCAAAAAAGCCTATGAAAAAGGTACCAGGGGCATCACATGGGGCCCCTTACTGACCCCGGGCCCTCGGGCAGTGCCCAAGTTTCCAAATGGTTGTTCTGAAATAGAAAACATAAAGGGGTTGATTTACTAAAGGCAAATAGACTGTGCACTTTGCAAAGTACAGTTGCACTCTGCAAGAGCAGTTACTCCAGAGCTTAGTAAATAAGGAGAAGCTCTGCTGACTTTTATCATCCAATCACATGCAGGCAAAAAAGCTCTTTTTTTTTCCTTGAATGTGATTGGGTATTGTTTGCAAAGTAAAGCTTCACCTCATTTACTAAGCTCTGGAACAACTGCACTTGTTGAGTCCAAGTGCACTTTGCAAAGTGCACAGTCTTTTTGCCTTTAGTAAATCAACCCTAAAATCGGATTGGCTGCCATGGGCTGTTGCGCTCTGGATGTGGACAAATAAAGCTAAAAGTAGGAGAAGTCTACAGAGTCTGCACACCATTTCAGTGACCTTGACAGCGCACCTGGCTCCCACCTATCCACCATTACAGTGTTACCTGTGGGTGGCAGCCAGGTGCATTGTTAGTGTCACTAGAATGGTGGATAGGTGGGAGCCAGGAGCACTTTGACAATTCACCAGGCTGAGACTTACCAATCCCTACCATTGTTTTGCAAATTCTAATGTATCTGGCTGCCACCAGGTGCGTGGCTCATTTCCCTGGGTCCCTTGCTAGCCAGTCCAGTTTCTCCACTTGCCTACTATGGTCCACCATTGGTTTCAGTAGGCCTTACCTTATTGCTGGAGGTGTCCCCACTTGCCCCTATCAGGAAGGGCAGCTGGTGACCACAGTCCCAGAGACCTCCTCCGGACTGTTCTGCTGACACACAGCACCTCCTTCTCTCCTGGCTTCCAGTGTAGAGCACAGCTCAGGGGGCAAGACTCGAAGAAATGCCACCATGTTTATATTTTATATCTCTGCAATAGGAATTCTGGATGAGATTGAACATTCCGCTGTCACAAACTGTGAGCAGGCAGGCTCTTCATTATAGAAGGGACATGCAATGTCTTTTCTGCAATAAAATACACCTACTTCTCTGCTCGCTGTCTTCTCCAGCATGTAAACTGAGCTGCGCATGCGTAGCTCAGCTTGCATTACCAGTATGGTCCCTGTGTGCCGGCATGACTGACCCCTGCTCATGCGCAGGAGTGACTTCATCCCACGCCAGCCAAGAAAGATGGCCCAAGAATGGCACACAGAAAAAAAAGATGCTGGCATCAAGGAAGGACGGGGACCATTGATAGAAAGGTAAGCTTACCTCCTCTTTAAGGACCCCAGTGTTGCAGAGCAGAAGTGCAAACCACTAAGCCACTGTGCTGCTCTGTTGGCAATGACTTACATTAGTTAACATGCATTTACCCTAGGTTCAAACCTATGCGTTTTCCGCAGCGTTTTGCATAAACACACTACAGTCCATTTAACATGATTTCCTATGGGACACATTCACATCTCTGCGTTTTCACCCAGTGCATTTTTTGGAAAGGGTCAGGGACTTTTTTAATGCAAAAAGTTGCATTTTTTGTTCCATAGACTTCAATGGAAACGCTGCAGAAAAGGATGTAGTGCGGTTTTTATGTGTTTTTTATGCTTTTTAAACTGCCTACTAACAAGGAAAAAAAAATTTATCAAAAGAATACCGCAAAATACATGTGCAAAAATGCAAAATGCACCAC